CCCTCTGCCAGGCAGAAGAGTCACATTGCTGTTAGGGCTGCCAGAACCCTGGGTTTGCCTGGGGACATATTATTACCCTGGTGCAGACGCTCCACAGATATGCAAGGCTGGCCTGGAGTGTCCCCCCAAGAATTCTGTGGGTTGCTTCGACGCAGGAAGGCAGCTGTGTGCTGGGCTTGTCTGCTGTATTTGTTGATATCTGGGCATCGATGAGGCTGATAAGGCATGCTGAAAGGGCCCTCTGCTGAAATACATTGGGACTTTCTCCAGCTCTCAAAACATTTGCAGCTGGGGACGATGCAGAGATGGCTTTATATTTTTATTGGATTTTGAAAAAAACAAACCTACCAGAACAGTTATTCCTGGATGTGTTGTCGTAATGTTTACTGTGATGTTACTGCGTATTTATGCTGCCTAGTTACTTCTAAAAATAACAAACTATTTTTTTTAAGGAAATATGCTATACAAAACCCAGTGCAAAAGTGAAAATAATCTCCTGTAGTATCCTACCTATTATTACAATATAATTTTCCAACACAACTCCTAAAATGGTCTGTCATGCCAGAACTTGTGTAGCTTAGTCTGTGTAAAAGGCTGCTCCTAGGACTCAGCAGCTAAAACAGCTCATGCAGTTATCACTGCTCTGACACAGCACCTAAAACTAAAAAATAAGAATAGCAGTGCTTATCTGGTAACAGGTTCTTAAATTGCTTAGTCTTCTTTCAGCCTTCAGACTAGAAAGGTAAAATCTCAGCTTTTCTTTTCCTTAGCTGCTGTCCTGTGAAATCAGAATAAACAGTGAAAGTGTTAGTTCAAACTTCTATCAGAATTATCATGAGAAGGACAGTTAGACTTCAGTTAGAAGATTTTGGATCCACAGATCACTGATTAGATTACTAATCAACATAATAAATTTTCTCTTAAAACAGTTGTCTTAACTAGTCTAATGCAAATAATTTATCTTTATATTTAGTTCAATCTCTTTGAAGAAACATAGGCTGTCTAAATTTTTCAGCAACGAACATTTTACCCAAATCACCAATACTTCTAAATCAGCTTACCACATAATATAAATGTTTTCCCTTTTACAAGCAAGACTGTACAGGGTGCTGCCTTCCTCTTTTCTATAATTAGCACAAACATTTGGAAATTGCCGTAACAGTTTCTCCGTATCTTTGCAAGAAAGAAAATGACCTAAAAAGGGAAGAAAGGCTAGTCTAGGAAGGAGCAGAGCTAATCTAAACATCACCCACAACTCACAATCAGAGACACCCCCCGACTCCCCTCCCTTCTCCAGCCAGATCCTTTCAGTATTTGTGTTTTGGTTTTGTTTTTCAAACTCCGACTTCACTACAGATTTCCCTACTTGGAAGTATTATCATTTGAGATCACTGTACAGCAACAACAGATAAAGCTGTGCCAAGCAGCAGACTGGCCCCTGGTGTAAAAGTTTGTAATCAGTAAAGAACATGTACGCTACAGACACAGGCTACCCCTGCATGGAAGTATTAAGTTCATCTGTCATTTTAGTAGTGTTCAGGTTGTTCAGATAACTGCGTGCTGTTTCTATACCTAGTAGATGCTTTTCAAATAAGAAAATTGTGAAGAAAAATATGACTTTCCACTTAGAAAGTTGAATTTTGGTCTGCTGTATACTGTCAAACTTCTTAATTAGTTTCTTTATTATAATTTCAGCCAGTAGTACTTTGCCCAAGTTTCCTGAATTTTAACAAATGGTTCAAAACTCTGAGTTCACAAAAATACCAGAAGAATTTTATGCCAGGAACAGACAGTGTAAGAAATGAGAGGGACTTCTGTTGCATAAGAAAACCATAAACATACCTCTCCTGCCTGGTTAATCATCCACACCAATGGGATTAGTATGAACACAGAATTTCAGCATTAGTATTTCAGTAGGGCCCTATGTAGAAAGTTAGATTTGTGACTCTGCAAAAGTTTAGTGCGCAGCAACAGAAAGTGCCTTTAAACGTGTTTTACCTGTATGTAAATGTAATCACAACTCCAATTTCTGGACATTCACACTTCCCCTTAGAACCCTTTTAGCTACAGCAATTAGGCAGAAACTGAAGATGCAACTGGTGATGTTAAGTTGGTACAGAGCCTCAGTGATTCCTCCTGTGAAATCTCCACCACCTGCACAAATTTTGGATAATAAACCAGACATAAAAGCTAATGAGCTGGAAATTACATAAGGCTAGACCTATCAGTACAATTTAGGAGAAATCCCACAAAGCAATTGATTCTTGCAGAGATTGTGATCTCTAGAGCCCCTTCTTGGATACTAATGCTGTGGAAAAATAATCTGTCTTTTTCAAACGATTCTTCCCATTTAGTCAGTTAGAAACACAGTCAGCACTGACAAACACCTGGGATGGTACCAGTGACAAAAAATCGAAGGTTTTAAAATAAATTTGGCACTAAGCATCACTGTGTTGCTAGTTTACTGTTAGAGTTGAGTAAATTGAGGCTTCCACTCGGTAGATGCTGTAGGTTAAGTATATTGCTAGATCCTAAACAGCTGTTAAGGACACAAAGGCACAACATTCAGACAGAATTACAATTCAGACAGACCACTAAGATAGTAGTTTGTTCCTATGGGAATGAACGGTTAACAATAGTTTCTGGGACAATTAAAAGCAACTTGATTATTAGGGTTTTGGCCCCTTTATGCCAAAGCTTTTTGATGGGACCTGTAAGGCTTGCCAAGTTGGAATAGGACTTAATGAGGAAAAATGTAGGAAAATTAATGTAGGAAAAAAAATGAAATTTTGTGGCAGTAAAAGATGACCGGATTATAGGGAAGGCTTTTAAGGCAATTCTAGGATAAGGAGTCATTTTGGCAAAGGAAACTAGTTTATTGTTAATTCCTTAGGAGGCTTAGGGTGACACTTAAAACTAAATTTAGGGTTATGGCAATGGCCCAACAGTGGAAGTACTTCATGAACTGCAAGCCCAAACAGTAACAGTAAATGTAACACCACCACCCCACCCCCCGCTTTAGCTAAAATTCCAGTTTAGGAGATGACAAATCCATGGACCATGCAAATCTAGCAATGGAAAAAAACACACATTTGTCTTTGCTTCTGAGCTTAAACCCAAACCTTATGGTACCTATAGCTCACCAGTCTCAGATCTAACTAGAATCCATTTTATCCTGTCTACAGCCCTCGCTCTCAGTCCATAATTTCATCAATAAAAATTGCTCTCCTATTCCCACTAACCCAAGCCATGGGATTTCCAAGTCCCAAGCCAATCTCCAGTTCTAGTTGTTATTTCAGTCTTGCAGGATCCAGCAATAAATCCAGTTTTTCAGCCTTTCTTGTTTGACCTCTCTGTGCTAACCCTAATCTGAACTAGGGGTTTTGAGGAAAGAGCAGGAAGTCAAGTTTGTCGCTTTCTGTCATCTTTAACCTTAATCTAACACCCAATATTGACAGGCACAAAACGGATTAAGGCAGAGCCTCGAGAAGAAATGGACTGATTATTTTTAAAGCTAGTATTTGGCCCATCAGAGTCTAAAGAACAATTTTTTTATTGTTCCACATGGCTTACAGGTCTAAGATGAGGACTCGGTACTTACAGGCACAAAGAAGTTAAGGTTTGTCTGAAGATACTTGTGTTGCTGGTTTCTCTTTACATTGGGGCTTAGACAACAGCCAGGAACTAAACTACATCAGATGTATTGTTGGATCCTGCAGTTTCTTAGCTGGGGCTGTGACTGGAACGAACAGAAGCATACAGTTTTACATAGACACAATATGCTGGGGTGCTTTTTAGGGCTACTGTCAAGCTTGAACTTTGGGATAAAACCCCAAAGTTCATTGTTACATTCTGTATTGCCCATGATTGTAAAATGAAGGTGTATGGTAAAGGGGTAGATATTTGAAAGACACAATTATGAGATAGGTTATGGGTTACTCGACTGCAAGGTTAAGCAAAGGCAAAGATTAAAATGTAATGCTCTGTTCCACAAAGGCAGCAGTGCTACAGCAAGGGCTGGTGCTAGCAGAAATGCATGGAGGACAGCCAGAACTGCCTTAGCTTTGGTTACGTCTGGAGAAGCGGTGGTGTGTCGCTTACACAAGTTCAATGAGGATCAGTGAAAATGAGCTAAAGCACTCTTAAATTTGGCAGCGCAAACACTTCAGCGTGTCATCGTCCCTGAACACAGGAAACAAGCAGCCATCTTTTGAGGCAGGATTTCTTTTGACTCATTGAAAGGCCTTCATCCTGTTCCCAGAACTTGACCTAAATAAAGTTACCGCTCCTCCGTTTCTGTCCTTTAACCACTTCTGAAATGGGTGTATTCAGAGGAGCGCCCTATAAATGGTTGGATTGCATCCTCTTTCTCAGTCATTCTTTGCAAGCCCTGAATATTGCTACATGTAGGAGTTGCCAAATTACAGCCAGAAGGGCAAAACAGACTGCCCACAGTTGGGAGCATTTTTTAAAAGGCTTTCTACCTCCCCCAGATTGCCGCATTTCTGGCCTCACCACGACTACCTGCCCGTCTGCAGAGAAGATACCAACATGACGGAGGCTATCTGAGGCTAAACTTTGTTCGTGACGCTGCGCGTACGGCAGTCATTTAGTGATGTGTTTGCTGCGCTCAATGAAGTCCGGGCTGCCAGGAGAAATCGCAGTAGCTTCCTTTAACAAAGCAGTAACGCTCGCTTGCCAAAGCCCGTATACGTAACGCGCCTGGAAACCCTAGTATTTACCGGCAGAGGCGACCCTCTGCCCCAGCCCTAATTTCAGGAGGCCACGCGCTCCCAACCGCTGTTCTGGGAGGGAAGCCTCCCCAGCCGCGGGCGGGCG